GCTGTGGACCTTTTCACCTCGCAGATGGCAAGCATCAAGATGCACATTGTGAGTGTTTTTGAGGGGTTGAACAACAAGTTATGATATTCTTTAATTTTCAACGCAATGACATTGTGGCACGTCGTACAGTGTGAGCGAAGCCATCTACATCCCTGCCTAAGTTTTGAAAAGCTCGCAACGGTAGCTGTTCTTTTCTGATCCGATCACGACAGGTGACAGCAATCAGGAAAGTCGACTCAGCACCTTCCCAAATCACTGTGTCCTTTGAATCATATCGTAGTTCTTCGATTTCAAGACCTACATAAGCATTCGTAGAAGCTGTTTGGCTAACCACAGAGAATATCAAACAATCGTCCTCGAATAAGATACCAGGATGGCACGAGTATTTCAAGAGAGGGGATACTGCTGCTCCTGTGAGAGACTGTGAGACAACAGATGAGCGAACAGGAAGACGAGCTTCGAGACTTGCTAGCGAGACAACAAGGTTGTTCCCATAGAATAGACGCAACGCGTCACATCTACTATATTGTCCCAAAAGTTCGTGATATTTTCGAACTTTTTTTCGAGTCAAGTTTTTTCCATTGGAGAAGCAATTTCGGTCAACAGTATATATTTATTACCTTCATCATCATCCATCATTCATCGGCAACCTGTTGCCAACCACCAAGCAAAGAGTGGTTGCCTTGCTCCAGAAGCTTTTTAGTTCCGTGTCGAGAAAGGCAGCCGGGTCATTTTTGAGGTGCTTTTCAAAATCGTACACGAAGACTTTGGTGGAATTCCCCAGCTAAGGCTTCAAGATCTCGAGCAGTGTCTTTTCGGAATGTGTGACCCTGAGCTGTGGTGGAGTAGGCAAACATTGCTGGGTTGTGGGACCAGAAGATGCGGTTTTCATCCTCCCTTTGCAGTTAATTACAGGAGGACTCGCTGGTTGAGAGGAAGAAACTCCCTGCGGTAAACCCCATGAATGGTTCACCACACGCACGGTATCACCTTCTTACTGTATTGATGGGATCGCACGACCGCGGTTTTTCAGCTTTTTCCTGCGCCAGGATTTAGCTCACTAGCGCTTCAGCAGTGTTTCATCAGAGACATCTACGTCCTTGTGCAGTCCCACAGTTCGCTTTGTCAACCAGTCTGTTATGGCGAAAGGGGAGAGAAGTTTTTAGACAGCATCCACATGCCCTTTCCCTTGAGGTCTCGGTCAACTCATGAGAAAACTTTTGATCAAACTTCAATACTTTTTTGAGGGAGTGAGGACCTCTGCCATTAGTGCTTCTGAAGCAGTCAAGTGTAAGGACTAGATAGCGAGTTGATTCGTACAATGGTGGCGTATCAGTCGAGAGCAGCACCTAGGTACAATTCTTGGGCACTATTTACCCTTTACTGCCCCAGCCATCCGAAATCAGGCCGGTTCCTGACCGACTTTTTTCTCCGTGGGCAGAATTTGCTGAAAACTTGCTCCAGGGGTAGTTCGACCCGCTGAACACGAATATCGCATCCGCGACCGCCAAAAATTACTTGAAATCACAACATTCGTCTGAGAGACTTGCTCCTATCGCGTACCTTTAGGTTTGACCCGCCTGATCACGAATTACCACTCCATATTGCCTCATGAAAAAATGCAGCCACCAAACTCTTTTTCGAAAATCGCCCGCGCTCGCTCCCAGCTCTCACACGCCAAGCTTTCGGTGGAAATTGGGCATTCCCATGGAATCGTTGTGGGAATTGAGCTTGTTCTCGTTGTGGACGGTCTTCACAAACTGACCTATTATGGAGCACTTGACCTATTAAGAGCAAATACTATTTTTTCATGCAAGATAAATGTGAAATTCGTGTTCACATGGTCAATTTACCCTAGTTGACAAACTTTCAGCCAGTTTAGTGATTCAGAGTATTTTGGCGCCGGCGCCCGTGGCGCGAGCGCCAAGAGGTTTCGGGTCAAGCGGATGCGATATTCGTGTTCAGCGGGTCGAACTACCCCTGGAGCCAACTTTTCAGCGAATTCTGCCCACGGAGAAAAAAGTCGGTCAGGAACCGGGCGCCTGATT